CTTTAGCTGCCAGTATATCCAATAACTTTCACCACCCTTGAACGCCACTTAGGATAAAAAATGTTCAGTAGCCAAAAGTTGCCAATCATGTTATTCAATCCCTAGACACAAAACATCCTGGATCAGGGATGGCGTCCAAAGTAAATTATGTAAAAAACTGTTGGTAATATTGAAAATTTTACAAAAAACTCATGTTTAAAAAATAAGGCATACTTAATTTTAGATATGATGTGTCAAAAACAAGTTACCTTGTATAAATAGTTACATCGCAACTATTTCTACTTGAAATTTGTAGTATTTTGGACTGATTTAAAAAAAACATCAAATTCTTAGTTTGAACCATTCGTGATCTTACTCCTATATTGATTTCTTGGTATACTTGAATATGCTGATTCTGTCCAAAAATTAATTATATGACGTTCTTTAATGTGCTAAATCTAACCGTGTATTTAGACTTTCGATTTTCAGGGCCCTGTTATCAAATTGGACCACAGTGATGTCCAAAATTAAAGTTTGTTTGATTTCATTAAAAAATCAAATTCTTAGGGTTATATGATAACCTGAATCTAACCATGTATTTAGATTTTGGAAATTTTACCATGATAGGTAAAAGTCCAATTTCAATTTTTCCAGTTCTTTAACCACATTGAAGTCATTCATTCTGTGTCAGAACCCTATGCTATGTCAAATATTTAATCACAATCCAAAACCAGAGCTGTATCAAACTTGAATGTACTATCCATACTTGCCCCAACTGTTCTGGGTTTGACCTCTGCGGTCGTATCATTTTATATAATTTTTGTCGAGCCTGCGACTTTTGTCGCAGAAAGATCAACATAGGGACAGTGATCCGGCGGCGGCGGCGTTAGCTAACTTCTTAAAAGCTTTATATTTTAAAAGGTGGAAGACCTGGATGCTTCATACTTTGTATATAGATGCCTTATGTTACCAAGTTTCCGTCTGTCACATGTCCATTGTCCTTGACCTCATTTTCATGGTTCAGTGACTACTTGAAAAAAAAGTTGAGATTTTTTGTAATGTTAATTTCTCTCTTATTATGAGTAAAAGGATAACTATATTTGGTATTTGTCTACCTCGCAAGGTCCTCATGCCCGTCAGACAGTTTTCACTTGACCTCGACCTGATTTCATGGATCAGTGAACAAGGTTAAGTTTTGGTGGTCAAGTCCATATCTCAGATACTATAAGCAATAGGTCTAGTATATTTGGTGTATAGAAGGATTGTAAGGTGTACATGTCCAACTGGCAGGTGTCCCCTGACCTTGACCTCATTTTCATGGTTCAGTGGTTATAGTTAAGTTTTTGTGTTTTGGTCCGTTTTTCTTATACTTTATGCAAAAGGTCTACTATATTTGGTGTATGGAATGATTGTAAGGTGTACATGTCCAACTGGCAGGTGTCATCTGACTTTGACTTCATTTTCATGGTTCAGTGGTCAAAGTTAAGTTTTTGAGTTTTGGTTTTTTTCTAATACTATATGCAAAAAGTCAACTATATTTGGTGTATGGAAATATTTTATGATGTACATGTCAGTCTCGCAGGTTTTATTTGACGTTGACCTCATTTTCACGGTTCATTGCTCAGTGTTAAGTTTTTGTGTTTCGGTCTGTTTTTCTTAAACTATAAGCAATAGGTCAACTATATTTGTTGTATGGAAGGATTGTAAGCTGTTCATGTCTGCCTGGTATGGTTCATCTGACCTTGACCTCATTTTCACGATTCATTGATCAATGTTTAGTTTTCTTGGTTAAGTCTGTTTCTTTGAAACTATAATAGGTCAACTATATTTAGTGTATTGAATGATTGTAAGGTGTACATGTATTTCTCGTTGGATTATCTGACCTTGACTTCATTTTCTTGGATCATGTTAAGTTTATGTAATAGTTGTAGTAAAGCTTTCATTTAGGACTATCAACATAATATCAATGGTTAGTAAAGAAGGCGAGACATTTCAGCGTGTGCACTCTTGTTTACATTAAGAGTTAACTTATGTCTTATCTTTGATTTATCTTTTATCTTTTGACCATATTCATTCTGTGTCAGAAACCTATGCTGTGTCAAATATTCAATCACAATCCAAATTCAGAGCTGTATCAAGCTTGAATGTAGTGTCCATACTTGCCCCTTCTGTTCAGGGTTCAACCTCTGCGGTTGTATCAAGCTGCGCCCCTTTATTTTTAAGTATTGTAATAGTGTCACATTTGAATGCAACTTCTCTGAGACCATTTGACAGAAAGCTCTCATACTAAGTAGGATTGTTTGCCATCATGTGTAATTGACAACATTATACCATCATTTTGATTTGACCATTTTTATGAGAGTTGTGGGACTTTTACAATATTTTGACTATCGTACCACAATGACACATTGTGACACACAATTTTATTCCTCATTTATACAGCGTGGGGGACATTTGGCTACGGCAAAGCAATCTTGTTCAAAATAGAATAGATTTTTATGAGTGATAAAAGTAAAAAAAAGTCCTTTTCCTTAGAATAAGGAATATAACCTTTTTGGAACAGCCCTTTAAAGGTTGGAAAAAGCAAGGTTTTTGTCTCGCCCGTTACAAAGGTTGCAGAATACAAGACATAGAGATGTTAATCGGGGTGTGATTGAAGCCAAGGCATGACCTATTTTTTCAAATTTAAAATTTCAGAAGGTAGAAGTCTCTGAAGCTTCATACCTTGTATACAAATGCCTCATGTTACGAAGTCTGTCTGTAATATGTCTATCATCTTCATTTTCATGGTTATACACTGCTTAAAAAGCAGTATTTCTCACCTATAATGAGTAGAAGGATAACTATATTTGATATACGGCATCCCTGCAAGGGTTTCATGTCTGAGACATGGTGACCTTGGCCTCATTTCATTGATTAGAGATCCATGTTAAATTTTCATGAATAGATTCATTTCTCAGATACATTAAGTGGCAGGTTAGCTATATTTATTGTATGGAATGATTGTAAATTGTACATGTCCATCTGGCAGGGTTCGTCTGACTTGACCTAATTTTTATGGTTCATTGGTCAATGTTAAGTGTTGGAATAAGGTATGTCTCTCAGATGCTATAGCAGTAGGTAAACTATATTTGGTGTACAGAATGATTGCCAGGTGTACATGTCTGTCTGGCAGTTTTCATCTGACTTTGACCTCATTTAATGGTTCATTGGTGAATGTTGTGTTTTTTGTGCTTTGGTCTGGTTCTCAGATACAATAAGCAGTAGGTCAACTATATTTGGTGTATGGAATGATTGTATGTTTTACATGTCCATCTGCAGGCTTGATCTGACCTTTTCCTCATTTTCACAATTCATTTGTTAATGTTAAGTTTTTGTGGTTATGTCTGCATGTTTCTTACATACTATAAGCAATAGGTAAAATATATTTGGTGTATGGAATGGTTGTATGGTGTACATGTCTGTCTGGAAGGGTTCATCTGACCTTCACCTCATTTACATAGTTCAGTGATAATGTAAAGATTATTTGATACTTGTATTAAACCTATTGACTATTTAAAGAGGTTGACTCAATTAGCATTCACTAATCTACCTTGAGGCCCTCACAAAAAAACATACAGAACAAGTATTACAAATATTACAACTTTTGAACATATAATTAAACTTTAACGCTAAATGATTGTCTGTTGAACTAGAAAAACAAAATAATACATTATACACAAACATGATAGAGTTAGAGAGTTGTTACATATCATTTATAGTTAAAAAACATCTACACATTTCCTTTTAAAAGTGCCAAGATTTTCAAATAGTTTTATTTCATTTGGTAGTTTATTCCAAAGTATTGAGGAGCTGTATGTGAATGATTTTTTCATGGAATTTGTATTAGGCCTCACTACCGCTAGATTATTATTTGTAGAGGATCTTAAATTTCTGCTGTGTAGGTTTATAATTGGACAACATAGTTCTTTAAGGTAATTAGGTGCCTTAGAAACAGTTTCTAATCAGTTATGAGTTTTGAATGTCCCCTTGATATATTCTGCCTATTTTTTCCAAATATGATTTATTATAAAGCCAATAGTGCCACACTGAGATGTCTCGCCTGTTTTACTGATACTGATTGAATTGATGTTGAAAGATGTTCATAAAATTCTCAATAATAAAGCACCTAATTACCTTAACCTTATCTAGCATGAAAGTTGAGTTATATGTTCAAAAATTGTAATATCTGTAATATTTATTCTGTATGTTTTTTGATAACTTAACGCCATTTAACAATATATGTACTTGTTACAAGGAAAAGGAGTAAAAGAGTCATGAAAATAAACATTAATTTCTTCAACAGATGTTTGTCTCCTTTTTATGATAGTTTTGTCTTATTACATCTTAGGGAGCTACCATTTGATTTTTATGGGTGGGGGGAAAATAAAAAGGCAGGACAGAGATTACAACTAAAAAAAATGCAGGACAAAATTTTTCATCCTAGCCCCCCCCCCCCCCCCCCCCCCCCCCATAAAAATCAAATGGTAGCTCCCTTATAATATCTCGACTTCTTATAAACTTAACATAATGAATAAAAGAAGTGGGACATATATTAATGAGATAGCAAGCAAACAACATCAGAAACAAAAAAACATAGAGAAATTTGGAATTTTAGTCAAACGAATATGTTGTTAAAACTAGTTTCAAGCAAAAACAGTTAAAGTGGTTGCACTGATTGAATGCATCAATCCTCAAAAAGCAAGAAAAAAGATTATACATCTGTGAGAAAAAGACATTGAGGTCATTTAAAGGGACAACAACCCAACTACACCAAAAATCAAAAGAGATCTAGAGGTCAATGCCTATATAATTAGAGACAATGACTTGGCCTCTTTACTTCAATAAAACGCTCAAAATTAGTTAAATTATTTGAAATTAGCAAACTCGTGTTTGTGGTGAAAAAAATCATAATTCAGACAATAACCAAATACTTTAACTGCAGAATAATCTAAATAAATATTTTATTATTCATTTTTTAGCACAAATTAATGAGATCCTTGTGGAGTGGAAGGACAATGATAAGATGTTTATAACAACAGAAGCTACCAAACATGTACTGAAATGTATAAAGGAGAACAGTTGTGTAACTATTACTGCTAGTTCTGGCGTAGGGAAGACAGCTACACTGCGACATGTAGCTTTACAGATGTCAGATGAAGGGTACGATGTACTTTTAGTGACAGATCCAGGTGACATTGTCAAGTATTATAACCCAAAACAGAAAACATTGTTTGTTATCGATGATTTATGTGGAAACTATTCTTTAAACCAGACTGACATGAAAGTTTGGGAACCTGTCATGGAGAGAATTAAAAAAATCCTTTCAAATAAGCTTGCCAAGATAATTGTAGCATGTCGATTACAAGTGTATCAGGATGACAAATTTGAATGTTTATCAGTTTTCAAATCATGTGTATGTAACCTATTATCAGAAAGCATGTGCTTGACAAAAACTGAAAAGGGGTCAATAGCTGAGTTATACCTGAAAACTAAAGCTCCTGAGATTATAGATTATTATAATTTATATGATTGTTTCCCACTTTTATGCAAATTATATAATGAAAATCCTGCACTTAATATCACAGATTTTTTCCAGAACCCATTTACAGTTTATAAAGCAGAGATTGACAAACTACAGAAAAAAGGATTTTCTAGTAAATACTGTGCTTTGGCTTTATGTGTCATATTTAACAACAATTTAAAGGATGAAATGTTAACCGAGGAGGTGAATGAAGAAACAAGAATCATCATTGAGAAAACATGTGAGGCATGTAAACTGGATAGGGGGACATCAAGGATTACATTACAAGATGACCTGAACTCACTTATACATACATTCTTGAAAAAGGAGGAAAACATATACAAAACTATTCATGATAAAATATTTGACTTTCTGGTGTACTACTTTGGACAGAAAATAATCCACTGCTTGATAAAGAATGCACATAGTAGGTTGATCAAGGAAAGATTTTTACTAGAAAAACAAGAAAATATGGATCAGTTTATAACAATTGTGCCTCCTATGTATCATGAAATGTACATACAAAGAATGATTAATGACTGGTCAAAAGGTGAAGTCAATTATGTATTTAGTAACATCAATATGAAAGTACCTCAGTTCAGACAGAGATTTCTATGTGTTGTGAATGCACTGGATGTATCTTACCAGAAACAATTAGCACAAACCTGTGATGTGTATAACAACAATACTACTCTGTTAGTGTTATGTTTTATAGGTGATATTCCTTTGATTCATTGGTGTGTTAATCATGGTGTTGATGTTAATCAGTGTGGGAGTGAGAAAATAACACCATTGCATACAGCAGCATTTACAGGTTTGACAGAAATAGTAAGGATGTTCTTAGAATTAGGAGCAGATTATAATAAATGTGACAATAAAGGTTGGTCACCTGTAATGATTGCTTGTAGTAAGGGACATACAGACATAGTAAGGATGTTGTTAGACATAGGAGTAGATTATAATAAATGTAACAATGAAGGTTGGTCACCTGTAAAGATTGCTTGTAGTGAGGGACATACAGACATAGTAAGGATGTTGTTAGACATAGGAGCAGATTATAATAAATGTAACAATGATGGTTGGTCACCTGTAATGAATGCTTGTAATAAGGGACATACAGAAATAGTAAGGATGTTGTTAGACATAGGAGCAGATTATAATAAATGTGACAATGATGGTTGGTCACCTGTAAAGATTGCTTGTAATAAGGGACATACAGACATAGTAAGGATGTTGTTAGACATAGGAGCAGATTATAATAAATGTAACAATGATGGTTGGTCACCTGTAATGAATGCTTGTAATAAGGGACATACAGAAATAGTAAGGATGTTGTTAGACATAGGAGCAGATTATAATAAATGTGACAATGATAAAGGTTGGTCACCTGTAAAGATTGCTTGTAGTGAGGGACATACAGAAATAGTAAGGATGTTGTTAGACATAGGAGCAGATTATAATAAATGTGACAATAAAGGTTGGTCACCTGTAATGATTGCTTGTAGTGTGGGACATACAGACATAGTAAGGATGTTGTTAGACATAGGAGCAGATTATAATAAATGTGACAATGATGGTTGGTCACCTGTAAAGATTGCTTGTAGTAAGGGACATACAGAAATAGTAAGGATGTTGTTAGACATAGGAGTATATTATAATAAATGTGACAATGATGGTTGGTCACCTGTAAAGATTGCTTGTAGTGAGGGACATACAGACATAGTAAGGATGTTGTTAGACATAGGAGCAGATTATAATAAATGTGACAATGATGGTTGGTCACCTGTAAAGATTGCTTGTAGTGAGGGACATACAGAAATAGTAAGGATGTTGTTAGACATAGGAGTAGATTATAATAAATGTGACAATGATGGTTGGTCACCTGTAAAGATTGCTTGTAGTGAGGGACATACAGAAATAGTAAGGATGTTGTTAGACATAGGAGCAGATTATAATAAATGTGACAATGATGGTTGGTCACCTGTAATGAGTGCTTGTAATAAGGGACATACAGAAATAGTAAGGATGTTGTTAGACATAGGAGTATATTATAATAAATGTAACAATGAAGGTTGGTCACCTGTAAAGAGTGCTTGTAGTAAGGGACATACAGAAATAATAAGGATGTTGTTAGACATAGGAGCAGATTATAATAAATGTAACAATGAAGGTTGGTCACCTGTAATGATTGCTTGTAGTGAGGGACATACAGAAATAGTAAGGATGTTGTTAGACAAAGGAGTAGATTATAATAAATGTGTCAATGATGGTTGGTCACCTGTAAAGATTGCTTGTAATAAGGGACATACAGAAATAGTAAGGATGTTGTTAGACATAGAAGCAGATTATAATAAATGTGTCAATGATGGTTGGTCACCTGTAATGAGTGCTTGTAATAAGGGACATACAGACATAGTAAGGATGTTGTTAGACATAGGAGTAGATTATAATAAATGTGACAATGATGGTTGGTCACCTGTAAAGATTGCTTGTAGTGAGGGACATACAGACATAGTAAGGATGTTGTTAGACATAGGAGCAGATTATAATAAATGTGACAATGATGGTTGGTCACCTGTAAAGATTGCTTGTAGTGAGGGACATACAGAAATAGTAAGGATGTTGTTAGACATAGGAGTAGATTATAATAAATGTGACAATGATGGTTGGTCACCTGTAATGAATGCTTGTAATAAGGGACATACAGAAATAGTAAGGATGTTGTTAGACATAGAAGCAGATTATAATAAATGTGTCAATGATGGTTGGTCACCTGTAATGAGTGCTTGTAATAAGGGACATACAGACATAGTAAGGATGTTGTTAGACATAGGAGCAGATTATAATAAATGTGACAATGATGGTTGGTCACCTGTAATGAATGCTTGTAATAAGGGACATACAGAAATAGTAAGGATGTTGTTAGACATAGGAGTAGATTATAATAAATGTGACAATGATGGTTGGTCACCTGTAAAGATTGCTTGTAGTGAGGGACATACAGACATAGTAAGGATGTTGTTAGACATAGGAGCAGATTATAATAAATGTGACAATGATGGTTGGTCACCTGTAAAGATTGCTTGTAGTGAGGGACATACAGACATAGTAAGGATGTTGTTAGACATAGGAGCAGATTATAATAAATGTGACAATGATGGTTGGTCACCTGTAAAGATTGCTTGTAGTGAGGGACATACAGACATAGTAAGGATGTTGTTAGACATAGGAGCAGATTATAATAAATGTGACAATGAAGGTTGGTCACCTGTAATGAGTGCTTGTAGTGAGGGACATACAGAAATAGTTAGGATGTTGTTAGACATAGGAGCAGATTATAATAAATGTGACAATGATGGTTGGTCACCTGTAAAGATTGCTTGTAGTGAGGGACATACAGACATAGTAAGGATGTTGTTAGACATAGGAGCAGATTATAATAAATGTGACAATGAAGGTTGGTCACCTGTAAAGATTGCTTGTAGTGAGGGACATACAGACATAGTAAGGATGTTGTTAGACATAGGAGCAGATTATAATAAATGTAACAATGATGGTTGGTCACCTGTAAAGATTGCATCTGAAAAAGGTCACAGTGAAATAGTTAGTTTGATAAATGAACGTTCCAGGAAAGTAACTGTAATATCTGAGGATATATAGCAGAATAGGAATGAGATATCAGTAATATTGATATGATTATGCTTATTACATATAAAGTCAAAGGCACAAGACTTTGTTGTTTCATACAAATCATTTTGAAGATTTTAAACTTAATGTTAATTCACCATCTTGTTTAATACTTTGTACTCAATCTGTTAATAATAGATATAATTTTATTCTAATATTTACCACTGTAATTTAAAACTGTCATCTAGTTACATCACAAAAAGTCTGAGAAATATAAAAATAAGAAGATGTGGTATGATTGCCAACGAGACAACTCTCACCAAGAGCCCAAATGACATAGAAGTTAACAACTATAGGTCACTTTACGGCCTTCAACAATGACCAAAACCCATATCGCATAGTCAGCTATAATAGTTCCCAAAATGACAAATGTAAAACAATTTAAACGAGAAAACTAACTGCCTAATTTGTGTACAAAATAAATTAACAAAATACAAATATCATATAAAGCTAAAAGTCCATAATGGAGTATACGTATATATTAATTTTGTTAAGCATAATTTATGGCGTTATTTTTCTCATTTTGGATTGTTTCACAATTAAATATGCCAATGTTTTTCATTGAAGTTATTTAATAGAAAATGGTGTCCAAATTTATAAGGATTATAAACATGATAAAGAGGCAAACCATTCTTTTTGCAAATAAAAAAAGTTATAATATCTGTCATGATTGTTAAAATTGATAACGTTTGTGTGCCACAATGATTCAGATCAACTGCCTTCAAGTTTCAGCAAAATAACTTTAATAAATAGACAAATGGGGTACTTGATTTGGTTGTGTAAAGTTTTTATAGTTAACTTAAAGGTAAATGGTCAAAATATGTAAGAAGAACGTCAAATGTATTTACTATATATAGACTCATAGTTAGGTCTAAATTATTCATTCTGTACTTATAAAGGTTGACATGTCTGTTTGACATGTTAAACTGATGCTACCTCTATTTCATTTTTAATTAATTTAGTGTTTGAATGATATCAATAGTATTACCATAAACTTTAGCATAGTATTTTGCCACAAATAGTCAAGCAGGTGCTTAAGTCTACTTTATTTTAAATTGAGGACGAAATAAACATTAATATGAATGTACAAAAATGTATTAATTGTTTGTTGTAATCAATGCTACCATGTTTGTATTGGGCTTTGTATTATAAAAACATTGAGTATCACTGAAGAGATATTGATTGTCGAAATGCCCATAATTTACAATAGAATTGGTCAAGTTAATGTTCTTATAGGAAATAAAGGTTACAAGTATTAGGACATCATTTATTTAAGCGGGTCATGTTTTAATCAATATAGGAGATATTGTGTATATAATTATGTAAATGAGACAGCAATCCAACAATACAAAAAAATAGACATCTGGAAACCAAATTAATGTCTCCCCTACAGAGAATGTTTTTACTAACTTCTATGTCATTTGGTCTCTGATGGAGAGTTCTCTCCTTTGCAATTATACCACATCTCCTCAATTTTATAGTTACCACAGAGTTATTAACTGATAATTTTGACATTTGTTACCATAGAATTAATTTCTGATAATTTGAAATATGTTACCACACAGTTATTAACTGATAATTTTGACATATGTAATCACAGAGTTAAATAGTGATAAATTTAACATTTGTTAAGCACAGAATTAAATTTACTGATAGTTTTGACATTTGTTACTATAGACTTATTTACTGAGCACAGAATTATTTACTGAAATTTTTAACAAACATGTATGTTTACCACAGGGTTATTTATTGGTCATTTTAACATATGTTTATCACAGAATTATTTATTGGTCATTTTAACATATGTTTATCACAGAGTTGTCATTGGTCATTTTAACATATGTTAATCACAGAGTTGTTATTGGTCATTTTAACATATGTTTATCACAGAGTTGTTATTGGTCATTTTAACGTATGTTTATCACAGAGTTGTTATTGGTCATTTTAACATATGTTTATCACAGAGTTGTCATTGGTCATTTTAACATATGTTTATCACAGAATTATTTATTGGTCATTTTAACATATGTTTATCACAGAGTTGTCATTGGTCATTTTAACATATGTTTACCACAGAGTTGTTTATTGATCATTTTAACATATGTTTATCACAGAGTTGTTTTTGGTCATTTTAACATATGTTTACAACAGAATTGTTAACTGATGATTTTAACATATGTTTACCATAGAGTTGTTTATTGGTAATATTGACATTTGTTACCACAGAGTTTTTGCCTGATTATTTTATTTTCACATAGGTCAACCTTGTCCATGATATAAAAAGTATTATTTAGTCAATGATTAAACTTTGTTATGAAATTATTATAACTTGTAAATATCAATAAATATTGCTGCCTTTCAGTTTTTGATGAGTTTTACTAAGTCTCGAAAACAGTAAAGTTTTTTAAAGAGTATTTTCCCTCACTATTTAAAATGGATCAAATGAGATATAGGGTATATGTGGATGAGACAGTTACTATCTCAATGTTTTTGTTTATACCGGATTCTATGAAATTTTGACGGAATATGACAACATGTCCTCTTTTATTTTTAATAATATAGTTATAAAGTTTTTATACGACCTCAAAAAAATGTTTGTGTCATATAATGCTATGATGTTGGCGTCGTCGTCCGAAGACACATTTGGTTACGGACAATAACTTTAGTTTAAGTGAATGCATCTCTAAGAAATTTTACCAGAAGGTTCAATACCACAAAAGGAAGGTTTGGATTGATTTTGGGGGTTATGGTTCCAACAATATAGGAATTAGGGGCCAAAAACAAGCATTTTTGTAGTTTCTGGACAATAAATGGTGTGTAAGTGTATGGATCTCTCTGAAATTGTACCACAAGGTTCAATATCACAAAGGGAAGGCTGAGATTGAGTTTGGAGGTAAATGCTCCAAGCGTTAAGGAATAAGGGCAAAAAGGGGCCAAAAACAAGCATTTTTCTAGTTTCCAGACAATAACTTGTGTTTAAGTGTATGGGTCTCTCTAAAATTGTACTACAAGGTTCCATACCATAAAGGGAAGGCTGGGATTGAGTTAGGGGTAATTACTCCAAGAGGGGGGTTCAAAAAGTTTGGGGGAATTTTTTTTTCCAATTTTTTTTTGTTCATATTATTTTTTCTTCAAAAAATTTCAAATAATTGCACAGTTTTGCGCAACATCACGAAATCTTCAATTGCACAGTATTGCTCAATAGCACAATATTGTACAATACCATAGTATTGGGCAAAAGCAAGAAATCTTCAATTGCACTATAGCACAGTATTGCGCAATAGCAAGAAATCTTCAATTGCACAGTATTGTGCAAAAGCAAGAAATCTTCAATTGCACAGTATTGCGCAATATGAAGAAATCTTCAATTGCAAAGTATTGCGCAATATCAAAAAATCTTCAATTGCACAGTATTGCACAATCGCACAGTATTGTGCCATAACATAGTATTGCGCAATAGCAAGAAATCTTCAATTGCACAGTTGTGCGCAATAGAACAGTATTGCACAATAGCACAGTATTGCGCAACAGCAAGAAATCTTTAAGTGCACAGTATTTTGCAATAGAAAAAACCTTCAATTGCACAGTATTGCGCAATATGAAGAAATCTTCAATTGCAAAGTTTTGCGCAATATCAAAAAATCTTCAATTGCACAGTATTGCACAATCGCACAGTATTGTGCCATAATATAGTATTGCGCAATAGCAAGAAATCTTCAATTGCACAGTTTTGCGCAATACCACAGTATTGCACAATAGCACAGTATTGCGCAACAGCAAAAAATCTTCAATTGCACAGTATTGCACAATAGTAAGAAATCTTCAATTGCACAGTATTGCACAATAGCAAGAAATCTTCAATTACACAGTATTGTGCAATAGCAAGAAATCTTTAATTGCATAGTATTGCGCAACAGGAAGAAATCTTCAATTGCACAGTATTGCAAGATAGTGCAGTATTGTGCAATAGGACAGCATTGTGCAACAACACAGTATTGTGCAATAGTAAGAAATCTTCAATTTTGCGCAATAGCAAGAAATCTACAATTGCACAGTATTGCGCAACAGCAAGAAATCTTCAATTGCACAGTATTGCACTATAGCACAGTACTGCACAATAGCAAGAAATCTTCAATTTCACAGTATTGTGCAATAGCAAGAAATCTTTAATTGCACAGTATTGCGCAACAGAAAGAAATCTTCAATTGCACAGTATTGCACAACAGCAAGAAATCTTCAATTGCACATTATTACACGATTGGACCGTTTTGTGCAACAACACAGTATTGTGCAATAGTAAGAAATCTTCAATTACACAGTATTGAGCAATAACAAAGTATTGCGCAATAGCAAGAAATCTTCAATTGCACAGTATTGCGCAATAGCAAGAAATCTTCAATTGCACAGTATTGCGCAATAGCAGGAAATCTTCAAGTGCACAGTATTACGCAATAGCAAGAAATCTTCAATTTCACAGTATTGCGCAATAGTACAGTATTGCACAATTGCATACTATTGCGCAAGAGCACAGTATTGCACAATAGCAAGAAATCTTCAATTGCACAGTATTGCGCAATAGCAAGAAATCTTTAATTAAACAGTATTGCGCAACAGGAAGAAATCTTTTATTGCACAGTATTGCGCAATAGTACAGTATTGCACAATTGCAAGAAATCTTCAATTGCACAGTATTGCACAATAGCAAGAAACCTTCAATTGCACAGTATTGCACAATAGCAAGAAATCTTCAATTACACAGTATTATGCAATAGGAAGAAATCTTTAATTGCATAGTATTGCGCAACAGGAAGAAATCTTCAACAGTATTGCACAATAGCAAGAAATCTTTAATTAAACAGTATTGCGCAACAGGAAGAAATCTTTAATTGCACAGTATTGCGCAATAGTACAGTATTGCACAATTGCACAGTATTGCGCAAGAGCACAGTATTGCACAATAGCAAGAAATCTTCAATTGCACAGTATTGCACAATAGCAAGAAATCTTCAATTACACAGTATTGTCCAATAGCAAGAAATCTTTAATTGCATAGTATTGCGCAACAGGGAAAAATCTTCAATTGCACAGTATTGCACGATAGTGCAGTATTGTGCAATAGGACAGCATTGTGCAACAACACAGTATAGTAAGAAATCTTCAATTTTGCGCAATAGCAAGAAGTCTTCAATTGCACAGTATTGCGCAATAGCAAGAAATCTACAATTGCACAGTATTACGCAACAGCAAGAAATCTTCAATTGCACAGTATTGCACGATAGCACAGTACTGCACAATAGCAAGATATCTTCAATTACACAGTATTATGCAAAAGCAAGAAATCTTTAATTGTACAGTTTTGCGCAACAGAAAGAAATCTTCAATTGCACAGTTTTGCACAACAGCAAGAAATCTTCAATTACACAGTATTACATGATTGGACAGTTTTGTGCAACAACACAGTATTGTGCAATAGTAAGAAATCTTCAATTGCACAGTATTTAGCAATAACAAAGTATTTGTGCAATAGCAAGAAATCTTCAATTGCACAGTATTGCGCAACAGCAAGAAATATTCAATTGCACAGTATTGCACGATAGCACAGTATCGCACAATAGCACAGTATTGTGCAACAACACAGTATTCCGCAGTAGTAAGAAATCTTCAATTTCACAGTACTGAGCAATAGCAAAGTATTGCGTAATAGCAAGAAATCTTCAATGTTGCGCAATAGCAAGAAATCTTCAATTACACAGTATTGCACATTAGCACAATAGCACAATTTCTTTTTGGGGTTCATATTTTTTTGTCTTCACAATTTTTGAAATTTCAAATTTCTAATAATTGCACAGTAATGCCCAATAGTAAGAAATCTTCAATATCACAGTGTTTAGCAATAGCACAGTATTGCACAATTACACAGTATTGCGCAAGAGCACAGTATTGCACAATAGCAAGAAATCCTCAATTGCACAGTATTGCGCAATAGCATAGTATTGCACAATAGCAAGAAATCTTCAAGTGCACAGTATAACGCAATAGCAAGAAATCTTCAATTGCACAGTATTGCACAATAGTACAGTATTGCACAATAGCAAGAAATCCTCAATTGCACAGTTTTGCGCAATAACACAGTATTGCACAATAGCAAGAAATCTTCAATTACACAGTATTGTGCAATAGCAAGAAATCTTTATTAAACAGTATTGCGGAACAGGAAGAAATCTTCAATTGCACAGTATTGCGCAATAGTGCAGTATTGCACAATTGCAAGAAATCTTCAATTGCACAGTATTGCACAATAGCAAGAAATCTTCAATTGCACAGTATTGCACAATAGCAAGAAATCTTCAATTGCACAGTATTGAGCAATAACAAAGTATTGCGCAATAGCAAGAAATCTTCAATTGCACAGTATTGCGCAACAGCAAGAAATCTTCAATTCCACAGTATTGCACGATAGCACAGTTATGTGCAACAACACAGTATTGCGCAATAGTAAGAAATCTTCAATTGCACAGTATTAAGCAATAACACAGTATTGCGTAATAGCAAGAAATCTATAATGTTGCGCAATAACAAGAAAACTTCAATTGCACAGTATTGCGCAACA